TCACAGCTGATTAGCCAAGCCTCTCCATCTATTTATATATCGCGTAGTTCATTCAAACGAGTGATCATCTAAAAGACGGTCAGGAGTGTGCTGCATTTGCCCCCTCCTCCGGATTGGCAAGCCATTTCAAGTACTCGTCTTTTTGCCCGAGCTTCAGCCCTTTGACGCGTCTTTTGATTGAGCTGTCAAGCTTCTTACCAATGTAAGTGATGGCAAAGACAAAACTACTTTCATTCTACTAACGATCACACTTTTTAATTGGTCACCTGTAATAGTTGGTATAACTGCTGTACAACGAAGCTTTTTGGACATTCGTAGCAAAACACGGATCCCCACACTCCGAAGAATTTGCACTTCGTCGTCATGAAGACTCGGCCAGGACCAACCGCCGGTTGATAGAGCGGAAACAATGTCAAAACTATGAAAAAAGTGGTCCGCGTTGTTTGTCGTATGAAGAGCGCAAGACTATAATGGAACAAACGCCTGAGCCAACCTTCCCAGAAGGCACAGATGGAAATATTGATGAGCGATATAGAAAAAAAGGAGTGGAAAGAGGAAACGGGGAGATGTCTGAGGTCGTAAACTTGCCGGTACCAGATAGCGGAGTTGCTGAAAATGATCCTGTGTGTGGAGTTATGGAGAGCATACAGCAAGTCTAAACAGGAATATAACAAAGCGATTTGAAATGATTGTCTCGCCCGATTAACCCAAAAACGTCGCGTGCAGAATAATGATGATATCAAAAAATTAATACCGCAATTGGTTGACTGTAGGGTAGCTGAAATTATGCCATTCATGAACGAAGAGCAGTGTGATTTGAAAATTAGAACTTTCAAGAAAAGTCTGTCAGGAATTGGATTGACCAAGAATTTGATCAAAGATAGAAATGGAGGAACATAACATTGTTCAAGATACAATTCCTGTTCGCGAGGAAGCTCGTACGATGTTTAACCACGCGAGGTGGCACGCTTTACAGAGCAGTCAATTCAGAGCTATAATCGACAACACAAAGAATTATCGCCCAAGATCCGGCATATGTGAAAACTGGGACTGGATAGCATCGAGACTGGCATGGTACAGTTACATACCAATCCAGTATCTGTCAACTGGTATTGTCACTTACGCTGTGGTAGACCACTGCTACGTCATTATGGTAGAACTACCAAGAAGTCTGGAATATATCTACCACTTCCACAAAGTAGAGATGCTTAGCAATATGGTAGTCTACCACAATTCGATTAAAGTTGATTTACTTAGCAATCTGTTAAGCTACCAGGGCATTCAGGTAGAGCTAGCTAACAGATAAATTT